GAGGACAACAATTATGTAAGTGGATTAATTGCCTTTTGTAATGTCTTAAAAATTATTTAATTGAATAACTAATGGACATATGAGTGATTGGCAACAAATAAGGTAATTATTACCACAGGATCAGGTAAGTGGTAATTAAATAGGTGAGAAAGGAATGTTTGGTAGTTACCATAATTGTGTCACTTTTTTTTTTTGAATTTCAATTTAACTAATGGAATGTAAAAAGAATATGACTGATTGAAATACTTAAAAGTATGAAAACATATGGGAAATGATTTCTACTGATAACAAATGGTTTAAATTTGACGATTTAATCAAGATTTTGTTCCACCGTAACCAACATACGGTACCTTTTCAACCAGATGAGCATGAAATGTTTAATAGTTTGGATATGATGATACCAAGAGATTATAATTTTTGACCAATGAAATTCATGTGAAACTTTTTAAAATTTGAATCGAAAAAAAATAATAATAAATGTATTCAATGATAGTAAACTAAATTATTCAATTGTTATTCAATTTGCTGGTTGTTAAGCAGATTTTTATGCTTTTCAAATAGACCTTCAATTTCCATTTTTTTTTTTTTACAACTTTCAGTTTTTTGTCAATATGTGATGATTATAAGCCTACAATTTTTGAAACTGAAAATATTTTGATTAAAATAAATTTTTTGTTTGTTTGTTTTTTTTTTTTTTGATAAAAAATAGTAATTGATTTTTGAGCAGCGAAAAGTTAAATTTTTCCATACGAGGAATAAAGGACAGTTATGAATCAGATGTAATTAACAGGAGACAAGAAAAAGCAAAAGAGAGAGATATCGTTTAAAATCACCTTAAATTTTAACGTTTTAAAATCAGAGCTATTAAAATTTTTTTCCATCATACAGAAGTTCCAGTAACCGGAGGAATATTTCAATTATGTTTGATAGAATTAAATTTATAATTTAAATTAAGTCCAATAGGAATGAATTTAAAGTGATAAATTAATTCTCGGCTTGTTTAATTTTTCTATGTTTACTTTTATTTTAAACGTTCATTTAATGATTAGCAATAAGTTTCGCTAATTTTTAGCAAATAATTTTTTCTAAAATAAATTCGATTAAAGCCCTCATTAATCTTCCATTAGCTAAAAAATTTTTTGAAAAAATGCTTGCCCCATTAATTTAACTATTATCTATTAAAATTCGATAAAACATTATAAAAAATTTGCTAATAAATTGGTTTTTTTGGATGGATTCAATTTAGCTAGTTAGCATTTAACTTTAGCTTATAAACAAGAAAAACATTGTTGTGCTAAAATTAAGCAACAGCTGTTTCTTCAGTCTCAACATATTTATTGAAAAAAAAAAAAAAAAAATCTAAGACCACTTTGTGGCAAATAAGTAAGCAAATGTTAAAATAGAAAAGTTAAAGTGAAATTTCAGAATTGTGAAAAAAAAAAAAGAAAAGAAAAGAGAGAGAATGATTAAAATAAAGATAGAAACAAATGAAAGAGGAAAAAGAGGAAAGGGAAGAGAAGAATGGAGGTTATTTGTTGATTTTGAATTAATTTCTTCCCACAAACTAATACTATTCACTATCGTTTGTATTTGCTTGCCTATTGTCGAAAAAAGAAATTGAAAATTCCATTGAATATTTAAATTTTCTATCAATCATTTGCAAATAAAATGCCTCCATTATTGCAGCCAATATATCCGGTAAGTAAGGAAAATTTTTCGTTTCTCTTTCAGAATAACTATTTAAAACAATAATCATAGCATAAATTTTAAACTTAATTAAATTTGTAATTTAATATTAATAATAATAATAATGTTTGCTCGAGATTTAACTTTTGTTATAATTTCGAATTAATAAGATGATAATGAATACTTCATTACTTCTATTGTATGAAATGTAATTCATAATTTTTTATTTCATTTCCTATGTGTAAAAATTCATAAAAAATAAACCAATAATTTCAAATTTCTAAATTACAAAGAAAAAAAGGAAAGATTCTTTCTATTTTCATTTCTAATTGCTTTAAATTCAGATTAAATTTAGATACTTAATTTTTTTTTCAGTTATATCGCTCAAAATCATTGGAAAAATTAGCAAATGATGAGAAATATGCAACATTTTGGCCAAATCAACAATATAGAAATTGGAGTTTGGTTAGTGTATTTTTTGTTGTTGTCAACATTTAGAAAACATCAGTTTAGCATAAATTAATTAATTCATAACATTTGTAACAGCTAGCAAAATATTCAAAAAAAAAAAAAAGACAACAATATGTTATGTTGAAATATATTGAATTTTTGTATTTTTCCTTTACTTATATATTTAAATTTAAGCAAAAAAAAAGTGTTCATAATTTGTAAAATTCAAAAATACACAAAAAAAGGATAATAGAATTTGAAAATGGTATCTAACACAGGTAAATAATACTTTTCATACAATAGAAAATCCAGTTCACCTCCCCCTTTTTTTTATCTTTTTTCATTTATTACAAATAGAAATAAATTAAAATTGCACAGATCATCAAATAACAGATGAAAACAACTTTTATTGATTCAGCTTTTACTTGATTAATGCATCAATGCTAAATTTTCTCTACCAAAATTATTAATTTTATTACTATCACTATTATTTCTATTATAACCAGTACTACTTTCTTTTTTTTTTAAATAATTATTCAAAAAATAAGCTTTAATATAGTTTTCCTTTTTCCTTTTTTTTTTTTGCATTCTTTTAAAACCTATGTTAAAAATAAGTGTTTAGCTCAGAGGGATAAATTTAATTACTAAAAAAAAAATTAAAAATTATTTGCAGTATATCTGTTACAGTGTATATATGTAAATTATAAAATATTAATTTATATAAAAACGGATCAATATTATTTTTCTTTTTTTGTAATGTAAATTTATTTGTCATATTACGTTAAGATATATTTTTTAAAGTAAAAATTAATGTTTCGATGGGATGCATAGTAAATCATAATAATTACCAAATACATTTAGTGCTAATTATTATTGTAATGATTATTTACAGTATGATGATTACTGGTATGATTGTTATATGGGGAGTTCACCGCGTTCTCGAACTGATAAAGCACCATATAGCATGTGGAATTATCCATATAGTTCTTGGCTAAGATACAAGAATCATCTGTATGTAAATTATGCAAAAAAAAGAAGTGAAATAATAACTAAAATAAAATATTTACAAAATGAAAATAAATAAATAAATGAAATATAGGTAATGTCAAGTAAGTATCAGTAAGAGGCATCAACTAATGTATGTAATAATTAACAATATTAAGCAGTAATACTACTATTGTTGATTCGTTAAAGAAATCAATTAATGATAAGAGATAAGTGATATACTACTCAATAAAGAAAAAAAAAATCAGCAAACAAAAGCGGAAATTTCAGATATGATTTGCCATCCATTTATCCATCATACTACAGCATGCATCATTACGGATATAATGATAACGCACGCTATTTGTATTATCGAAACTATTTCACTTATTATTCACCATTGAATCGTCAATGGCTTAAATCTACCAATAAATATGGAAATTATTCCTAAAGTTACATTTGTTTAAACATCATTCAACAATTATGTGAATTTTACAATTGTAAAGAAAAAAGGTATAAAAAAAAAAAAAAAAACTTTTGAAATTATCCGAAAATGCCAATGTAACACTTCGCTTTCATGGATATTATCGATTATATGCTATTCAGCTAAGATTAATCATCAGTTAAACAACAACAGTTATTGTATTATTTATTTAGTTGCAACAAATAAATGATTTGTCGAACTATTTAAAATATTTCACTTCGCTTTTTAAAACAAAATGCACAATGTCCTCATTGCAATCAACATAAAGCTATACATCTTAGAGAGACGAATTACACTAATGGATTAAATTACTAAAATCTTGCTTTTCATTTCCCTTAATCGTCATATTCAAACAAATGCAAGATATGAAAAGAGAGCAAAAGGCTTGATGATGGTTTTAATTATAACATATTTACTGTTCACCTAAATCCAGAACAACGTAAACGATCAAAACAACAAAATACATTCCAATTCCATGTATCCCTCCCCAAGAGAGATCGTTCAGTTTCGTATCCAGTCAATAAATCGGTTAATTTCCAAAAACTAAGACAATTTATCCATCCAAAAAACTGACACTTATTGCAGAATCAATAACTAATACATATTAACATAGGATAAATACACACTCATCACCTAAAGTAAAATAAACAAATAAAACCGAACATTTTTCTTTTTTTATTTATAAAGTGGATATTTCGGAACTCATTAAAGTGGCAAAACACGTTCTATATGCAAGAAAAAATGAACTGAGTGATGAAAAAGAAGATTACACATATGTTCATTTTCCAAAAAAGAATGTACGATGCATTAAAACATTTTGTTTAGTGCATCCTATAGCTAAGTTATAACAAGTTTAACAATTATGCATTACAAAAAAAAAAGTTACATTAGTAATAAACTTATCTAATTATTATATCTCAACACTAAACAAAAATTAACTGGAAATGAAACATCATAAGTCACTTAATTTTCTCAGCACACATGAATTTCTAAATAGAAAGCTCAGTGCTGTAAGGATCACTTGCTGCTATTGACTAGAAAAAAATTTGTCAACATACCGAAAAAAGTATATTACAAATACATAAAGAAGAAGAATATAATTTCAGCCCAAATTACATCACTCTTTATTGAATTATGAGTGTCAACCATCGCACTAGTCATTCCCTCCCCTAAATTACATATACATATATATATATTGGAAAATTCTGAAAATAAATGTACAGAAATAGGGCCAAGTGTATAATTTACAGCCTTTAAAAAAAATACATAATAGCTTGCATACATAAAATACAAATCCAAACAAGTAATCTCAATTGGATTAATGAAAATAGCTATCTGATGCTACATGATTAAATAAAAACTGTTAGTTTCTTAATTAAAAATATTTTGTCGCTTTCTATTTCCACACTTTGATAACACCATCCCGACTTGATGAAATCAAATATTCTCCGCAGCACAGAAGATCGGTGATCGGACTTTTGTGGCATACCGTCAACTAGAAAAATAGGAAATATGTCGGTAAAAATAAATAACAGCTCACTGATTTACAGTGTTCTTAGAGAGAAAGTTCTTCAAATTAGGAATAAATTTGAACACAATATTTTAAATAAATTAGAACACTTTGCAGTAAAAAAAAAAACGAAAAGCGCTAAAATTTTAGGTGAAAATCATACCTGCACTTCAAGTGGATTCACAGCATAAAGTGGTTCGGCAGTCCTACCAGTAATTGTTTCACTCAAAACTTCTACTGTATCGATTACAGATTTACTATAACGGATGGAAGCGAAATGTTCAGATAACGATGAAGAAACGGCTTCAGTGGTTCGCCGAAGTGACCCAGAAAGATAAAAACATTCGTTTGGATCTGACAAATTATATGATCGTATGGTACCCAAACTATCACCTGTGAAAATACGACCCGTTAATGGACAAATAGCCAATGCAGCAGTGACATGCTTATCTTTCTGAAAAATAAAAATTTTGAGATATCCCAGAATTAAAAAACCTATTATATATGTAATCAAATCTTAATGCATTGACAAAACATAGGTGCCAAATCAATTTGCTTTACTTCCACATACATCTTTTGGCACTAGGATAATATATTTTAACTTAATATTCACTACTAAAAATCAAAAATCAATACGATGAAATTATAATGGAAAGATTTAATTTTAGCCATAAAACAGCTGCTTGGAAAAAAATTTTTGAATAAACGATTAGCATACTGAAGAATACTGGAGAGGCTTTTTGGAGGAAGACCATATAACATGTGTCCTTTGCGCTGTTTCTAGTTTCCAACGACTTAGTTCGAATGCGCATGATGATGCTGTCCAAATTTCTGCACATGAACTACTAGTATGTTCATTCACTGTCGGATATGCCGGCCAACAACGTAGCATTCGGCATGCATCGTTGGGATGTGGCCAACTATTTACTTCAACTCCAAACCTACAGCATAAATAAATTAGATTTCAAGGGATTAAAACTAAGTAATTAAATGGACTGAGTTAGATTAAGTAAATCGAATAAATCAAATTTAATAGTTGAATAAATACGAATAAAAGGCAATCCAGGCATAAATTATAAATAAAATTTTAGAAACATTCACAGTTTTGCTAACTGAAGAGCTTCTACATATTTTCAGTATCATCATTTCCACAAATCATCTTACCACGCTGCAAATATCGAAAAAAAAAACAAAAACAAAAACACTCCAAAACGCATCGTGTCTGTCCTTAGTGTAGCAAAAAAGGAAAAAAAAAAAAAAGACTTTCCTCTTACTTGAACGTACTCTAACTGTAAGATTAAAGGAAATGAAAACTAATAAAAGTGGACAGTTGCATTATTTCGCTATCAAATTGTGAAAAAACAAAGATGTATTAAATTCTAAGAACTCCAAATTTCAACCGTTAAAAAGTGTGTTGTCTCTTTAAAAATGAATGAACAACTGGCATTTTTAAATAACCTATCTCAAATGCAGCAAATAATAAAATAAAATGCCTACCTTAGATCCCACAGAATGATATAACGACTGGTTGACGTAAGACACATCCAATTTTGGCTTACTGGATCGATACAAAATGATGTTATCAAACCATATTCATTTTTGATTCGATGTCGCCAAACTACTTTGGGCTTACAGCCCAAAACTGCTCTCTCATACGTTGGTATCCTAAGATGGCTAATTAACGATTAGTCAAATATGAGCAAATTTTATTTTAACATTTTCTGAATCGTAAATCAGAAGTGCTTAACAAAACAAAACAGAATCATTTAGAAGACGATAATATTCATCAAATAAAATTTTAAAATGTAATAGCCAAATATTGTGGATATAAGTTTTTCATGGACTATTTCGCATCTGAATCATCAAACTGGAAATATTAGTTGGACAAACATTCACTAACAAATAGGTTGCATATGATTACTAAGTAAACTGTTTTATACGTGTATTAAATACCAGCTTGCAGCAGACGAAACAAACTAGGTTGCTGTTTCTGCTCATATTAGGGATAAGTCTGCTGGATTGCAAAGGAATTAAATCGGGACTAAAGTTACATTATAATAAATCTCAATATTAAATATTAGACTGATCCTTTATTGATGTTGAAATATGCATTTAAAAGTGGTATTTCATTCACTTTCTCCAAAGTTAAAATTGAAATTTCATCATCTCAAGCATACATGTTAGAGGAGAAATAAAGAGACAAAGTGATCATAATACATTTCGAAAAATTTCGAGTAAAATTACCTGCAATCAAGACAGAAAATGTTGCTGTGATGGGTTAAAACATAGAGAAGATTATCAACGGCGATAATATCAACTGGCGGACCTTCTCCTTCCTTATCGAAACTAATCTTTGTTAAAAGCTGCATCCGTTCAGCATCGATAACGCTAATACGACAGTCTTCACTTGCAATAGCTAGGTGCGACCCTGTTCGTCCCAAAAATTGCACCGAATTAATTTCCCGACCTAGAATTTGAATTTGAAAATTTGAATGTTAATTTTTCCTTTCGCAAATATTATTTTTACAGGATCAGCAAAAAATTTGAACTATGGCAGAAAACAACAAAAGAAAAAGCTTTCTCGACTTATCGAGACTTACAACATCCAGATTTAAGTTAAACATAAAGATCCAACAAACCTTAATTTCTTATGCAAGTTTATTCGATATTAAAATGTTTTTAGGTTTGTGAAAATAAAGAAACAGTTAAACAAACGAAATAATAATCAGAATGTTTGAATAAGTTTTAAAGACATTATTAGATAATAGACATATTTCCTAAAACTAATTACAGTATATGAACTGTAATTTAAATCAAGAAAACTTACCACCATAAGTAAAAGTAGCATCAGCCCGTACAGTCATACTCAGATCTCCCTGTATACGATTCAACGACCATAGTTTGACAAGTCCATCAGCACCAGAGCTTGCAAAATAGCAGCCGTTTGGACTTTGTGCTAATCTGAAAAAATATTTTATTCCAGTTTTTATACTGACCTAACAGTAGTATCCCACCAGCTTTTTGTGCGGCTTCTGAACACTGAAAAGTATTTAAGCCAATTAGGTATGAAATAATTTCAAGAAATAATTGGACTTCATATAATATTCTCAAAATAAGGTTAAACTTACTTAGTAATTGCCGCTTTATGTTCATGCAGGTGGGAAACTAAATTGCTACCAAGACGTATAGATGGTAACGGTAAAGATGAATTAGAATTAGCGGAAGAACTTCCGGAATATATGATCGGATGAAGTCTTTGACGCTTTGCGTAACGTTCTCTTTTGTGAGTTAATAGCTCTGATAGCATTATTTTACAAGCCGATGAACGTACTGTAATACTGTTTATTTATTAATACTGTAATCATCATGCAGCTAATTTATTCGATCCTGATATTTAATAAATGGTTTACGGCTTCTGTCAAGCTAGAAAACGAGCTACATTTTTCATCCTAAATTAAATTAAAATTTCTTGGAAAATTTAAAAAAAAATTAATATATGAAAAAATATGGAAAAATTATTATGAAATGCAAATTTTAGAAAACTATCAAGTAAAGATTTTCCTGAAGAATTACCAGCAAAATTATGATCAGTCCCAAGATGTGAAAAACCCGATGTTGATAAAGCATATTCGGACAATTCTCGTACATCTGAAGCAAGAAAAGATCCTGAAGTTCCACCAAAATTTGGTGCAAACGTACTAACATCGTCATAAATATTTCGCCATTCCGTAGGATATTGGCCATTTGCACTAATTGTCTAGAAAAGATAAAACTAAATTGGTTCCCAATTACAAATTTTATATTTTTTTATTATTTTAAATTTTTTAGTTTTTCATTTATTCAGGGAAAAAAAATCCAATAAGCTATTTAATTTCTTGCAGATAAATCCCTATCAAGCACTGAAGTGCAAAGAGTGTTTGTTCTTCGGTTCTACTGATGAAGACAGACCTTAACACACGCTGTTTTCGGATCACTACTAAGGTCGAAAACATGCAATTTGACATTCGTTTCTGTCAAATCGATGACACCAAGGTTCAGATTAATGCTAGCAGCACCCAAGCTGCAATTACAGAATTATTTGCAGTACAAAATAAATGTGGCTGATTTTCTTCTTACATAAAACAGATCAACAAGCTAAGCAATGACCAATTCAGCAGTTAGTATAATACATTAACAGTGACACTACAACATTTGTACATTTACTATTTCATGTCGCAGTTATCTGCATTATTTATTTTCAGTTACACAAAAGTATACTGCGTCAATAGTTATTTCAGTCAATATTAAAGCAGATTTACGGATATTCCACCTTGTTAATTCAATGAGAAATGATTCATAAAATCAACAAAACTTATTCGAGAATTTAATCACATACTTCATTATCGATAAAAATGACTTCAAATCAATTTTTGAGCCGTTTCAAGAAATTCAGAAATTCCATTAACATAATCAAACCTGGTACGAAAATCAACCATTTTAGTTATCGTATCCTCGAAACGAACTAATTTATCTTCCATATTATGATCTAAGCCCAAATTTTCCAAATGTTTTAAGTAAGATTCCAACTGCACCGAAATTGGCTGATATCTAGAAAATCATTACTTGCTAGAGCAAATACTTCATATGTTTTTAACAAAATATATTTGAAACAAATCTAATAATCAAAATTTTTTTTAAAAAAAAAAGAGTAAAAAGACAAACTTTCTGCTAACTGCAAACAACGAATCTGATCCATTATCCAAAGCTAGATATATTTGTTTATCTGCCATGTAATCGAGCAGTGACTTGACGGGTGAGGCATTCACCACGTAATTCCAAATCTGACGTGGAATATGCGGCTTTAGCGATGAGCTAACTACAAACTATAAAAAAAGAAGTTAAATATAAAATTTCCCCAGATATCCTCATATCTATTAAGATTTAATACTACATGTCAGCTTCATAGTCTCGTATTTTACTGGTCATTGTTTAAACTTGGCTAATAAGATTTTTGTGAACTAAATCCGATTTTAATGAAATAAAAATTGGATACTGTTATCCTAACTTAATTTCAGTTGGCAAATACTAAATAGCTAATAGATTATAACTTTGGTATTTTAATTTCAAGCACTTGCACCTTGTTCCGTAGTTTTATTAGCTTTTCCTTTACGAAAGGTTCTACCGCTGGCATTACTTTACATAAAATGTCTGCTATAGTAAATTTTGCATCAAGTGTACTCAAAATATTCAACGTTGCCATTCGTAGATATTCATTCTGAAAATAGCAAGACAGTTCTAGCAACAAATAAAATTTTGGATAGTAGATGAATATATTATTTTGTAACTTTTTCTAGTCACAAAAAATTTCAATTCTTCCAATTTTAAATCCCCAAGCGCAAGCAAAGTTTATAAAACAAACAGACCTAACGGTCAAACGATAAGTTCAGTAGAATATTACCACCCGAGAACTTTAAAATCTGAATTAACTAAAACATATTTACCGGATGAGCCAAAAATGGAACGATATCATTTAGTAATTCGTAAATAGCAGATTTCCCAAGTAAATCTTTTTCACATAATTGGCATATACAATGTAATGTGCGTAACTGCACAAATTCCTCGTAATCATGTAAACCCTGAAATATAAGTTATTCTTTCCATCAAGAACCATTTTAGCCTTTTACAAAGTACTAACTGTTATGAAATTAAGCATATTAGGCTCCATTTTCCAAACGAAAGTTTTAGCAATAAATCAGTAACTAAAGGGTTCATTTTCCCTAACAAAACATGATTATTTTCGACTTTATTAAGCTATCTTATATAAATAAAGAGGATTAATTCACACTAGTTAAACATAAAAAACTAAATACAAATACAATAAAATTTAAATCAGAATGACATTTTTACTTTTGATTACCACCTTTTTCAAATGCATTGACTAAACGATCATTCTGTTATTCTTATCTTAACTATGTGAAATTATTTAAAGCTTATTTATCTTTTTATTTCACTTTAATCAATCATTTTCATTCATATTTTCATCTTGCTTTAACTTTACTTCATGTCTTTGTATTTTCTACCAATAATGAAGAACGTGAAGACCGTCCAGCATTATATAAAAGATCTTAAAGTGATGTAAAAATATAAAATACATAAGTAATAACCTGCTGAAGAAGTGCTTTCAAAATATAAGTACCGTGACGACCAACAAAATGAGCAATGACTGGACAGCATTCAAAAAACGATCCTCGAAGACGCCAGTCGACTTTGTCATTCAAAAATGTAATCAAATGCGACAGCAGGACATCCGTTGCTGCAATTCTACTTATAAAATATTGAAATTTATTTTTTAAGCAAAAAAGAATTTCCAGCATAGGAAAACTGAACTAATTCACAGAAAAGCTGAACCAATTTACTAGAGTGTCGTAATTTTAGAACAGCAAAGTTAACTGTTCTTTATTTGCACTGCGTTATGATGCAACTTAATTTGATTTGAAACACAATTGTCTTTTTTATAAATTTTAATTTGCTTCATAATATATCATTTCTTATTGTTAAAATTGCCTCTATCACCATGGGCAAAATAATTTCCAAAAAGTCGAGATTATTAATTAATGCGACAACAAACTGCAAAATAAGTCCGAAATGAGAGCCTTACCATTTCAAATATCATTACAAATCATTAGAAATGTACAAATTTTGAAAATTTTTAAGTTTCAATTAGTATAAATGTACAAAGTCAAGAGAATATCAATAATGCTAAAAAAGTAACAATAAATCTCACCTTTCCGACGATCAAAAAAATGACACAACTTCACCAACGACTGCGGGGTGACAACGCTATGCTGCAAACAAAAATCATATGCCACTTTCAAATTATATTCTAAGATCCAACTTTGCACCAAATTATTATTAAATTGTGCCACCAATTTTTTCTTTTCCTTCCGAAATCAAGATCATTTTGAAATTAAAACAACGAGGGAAATCAAAATCGAAAGGAATTGAAAACATAATTGAAGAAAAGTCAATTTCGAGATAATGAGTAATCGAAGATATAATGAATTTAGAATTGACGAATCTCCTATTAAGGCATGAAACATTAAAATTTTGAACAGTGAAATGTAAAAAGCCAGTTCCAGCTTCTTACAAATTCGCGTACCTTCACAATGCTGTTGGAGTCACATAAATTGACAAAAATGTCAACAACAGTCTGTTGAAGAGCTCTCGTTTCTTGCCTTGCAAACCGTTTTTCACGTTCGCCTCTGTCCATTTCGGTAATCATCGATCCATCCAATAAATCATCCGTCAAATTTTTCAGTCGTTCACGGATAAATCTGAGATTAACTTCCAAAATGGGAACTTAATGAAAGTCAATATTCCAAATGGGAGCAAATCTACTGAAAGCACTGCCTACCTGAAAGAAACTTCGGCTAAATCACCTAGATTCTGTGCCAAAGTTATTCGCACCCTGCAATTTGGATCCAGCGAGACAAATTTCTGAAATGTCACGCATTTATCTGACGAATATTCAACTAAAATTAGAGCGAAAACTTCACTCTGATTATTAAGACTGCAGTACGAAATTTATCGTTCCAAGTTGCCTACAGCCTTTTATAAAATTACTTAACAGTCTTTTACAAAAATTACTAACTATAAAAGCTATGCGCTGTGTGGTTATTGGAAGGGAATTATAAATGAGTAAGAGAATATTGTAAACTGAAACATAAACTCAGTGAAATTTTTTAAAAAGGAAGCGCAGAGAAAAAAAAAAAAAAACAGATTTTATAGAACTTTTGGTGATTTAATAAGAAATGAAAACCATGCTTTTACAAAATTAAAAAATTTTGCTTTTAGCAAAATTAGAATAATAGAATAAACGGTTCTGTACACAAGTACAACTTGATAATTCTAACTTTCAGCTTTAACAAAACTTACAAGTCTTGGAAATAGGTAATCGATAAATAATCGAGTCTCATAACGTGGTATTTCTTTGAATGATGTTAATAGTGAAGTAACTGAATAGATGGCTTCACATCTAACCTGGACCACGCAGTCGAACATCATTTCAACCTACAAAAATTCATTAATCAGAAACCGCTATTATAAGGACGATGGTAGGAGAAATCAATAAACTCGTACATTTAAGCTACGGATTCTCTCAGAAATAGAAAAAAACCGTGCATGACAAACCAAGTATGGTAATATGCGATCCGCAACAGTCAGTATATCTACCCATGGCACGTACCTATGCAATAATTTCATCGCTTCCTGAAAAAAATCTAATTTAGTCTATAATAATTGCTGAAACAAAATTTAAGAGAAAAAACGCAACCCATTAAAAGAATGAAATAAAATATTGTTTTACAAATTCAAAATCGTTTTCGAATTCATATTTTCAGAATGTAAAGTTACTTAGTCTTGTCCACTCCCTGTCCTTGTATAGCGTACATAAAATCGGAAAAATAAAAACAATCAGTGTAATTATAACTCTAAACAATAACAAAATAGGACAACAAAATTTCCAGACACATTGCAAGGTTACAGAATGCAACTGGGTGACATGCTCACAAATATCTGATCGAGAAATACACTAACAAATTTTATGGTTAATGATTTAAGTGCGCGCATATTTGAAGTGACCAATGCAAGAATAAGTAAAACGGCAGGTAATTGATCGAACGGTTTTCCATTAATTTCAGCCTTCTCTGATAATTTCCCTACAGTTGATTGCATATCCAATGATAATCTGAAAACATTTGGTTTCAGTTTTTCTCACTACCAAAAAATAATAAGCGTATACATATTTTAAACCTTCGATATAGAAAATAATAAGGCTTTAATCTGATACAGTACAAGTCAACGAGGTTAGTCCATAACAAAATAAGCTAATTTTACTAGTTATTAGTATTTATTAGCATGAAATATCTTCAGAAAAAAAAATTAAAAATAGATAGATGTAGGAAATGTAAGAAAGTATAGAAATCCATGGATAGGAAAAGCAACTTTCACAACTTTCAAATTGTTGTTTTAAAAAAAAAATGTTATATTGAACAAACTTTGTAATCATATCATCCGGATCTACTGATTCTGAAGTTTGCGTCTCTTCGAGCGATACACTTGTTTGCAAATATTTTGGTCGAAAGGCATTTATATAATCATACAGGAAATGATCGAATATTGGTGGGAATAACAATGGGGAATATTTCCGTATCTTAAAAATTAAACTATACACGTTAAATAATTTTTACTTTGAAATGGAATAGAGACTGCATCACCAACCCTCATGATGCAAAAAAAAATGTGCCTATTTTTCAAAAAAGTTAAAATATAACTTCAGTTTGCCTTTTTCCTTTCTTAAACGAACAAAAAAAACTAAGCCAGACAAAAGTGGCAGAAAAAGTAGAAAATTTAGTTAGGAAAAAATATCATTTGAATTGAATAGTTACAATAGAAATACCTACCAGTACTGATGCTTTTGGCCTTTTTGCAGGATTTCGATGAAGCATTAAACCAATCATACTGCGCAATTCATCAGGCAATTGTTCTTGAATTTGCTGAATCATCAGTTGTGCCTCTGCGTCAGATGCGTGTCTAAAAATGTCGGCCTTAGTTTCGCTTATTTTCAAATAAAATTTCACAAGAAATCCAGAGACCTGAAGAAAGAATAGGTTTATCAATAGAGAACAAAAATTATTTCGTTTAACGTACTTGTATTTAACGAGTAATTCGTAAGTAAATGGACACTGGCCCTCCGTAAACAACTCAACAAGTACACAGCCAAGAGAAAAAATATCCATAGCGTGTGTAAGGCCTTTGGAGACATCCATAAATTCACCCGGAAGATTTGGATGTAAATTCAGCTCCTGACTGGTACAAAATCTTTCTGGTGCCAAATAACAGCTTAATCGTCGACTAGTATCGAAAAAGAAGGTGAAATATGATGGATCATCCTGAAGTTAATTAATTTCAATCATAATTTCTTATTACGGAACAGCTGCGAAAATAAACCGCTGTGATCAAAAGAGTAATGAAACCATGAGGAAGGGCATGAAATTGATAAAAGAATAATGTTCAGCAAAAAGAACTGACTTATAGCAGGGAATCTAGAGTAGCTGTTACCGTGCTTTACATCAATAACGAGTATTTAAACATGCAACTGAAAATGGATATATTACAAACCGATGGAATATTAGTAGGCTTGAACGATGCAAAATCGGTTATTTGTACCCAATTGAAACTTGAAACAAGGACATTTTGAGTTTTTAGATCTCCGTGACATACTTCGGCATATTCACATTGAGCAAGTGCCTGGAACAAAATGAAAACAAAAAAGCTGATAACGAATGAATTGCCAAAATTTTGCGACACTGAGGTAAGAAGCAAGATTCCTTAGCAATAACCTTGAAGAGATGAAAAGCAATCCATCTTTTCTCGATATCTGTAAGAAATGGATACGTGCTTATACGATCATAAAGAGTGTATTTCTGGAATGGCCGAGACAAAATAACACAACGTGATGTGACCTAAATTGCTAACTGTTAAAAACAAATATTCCTTTAAATCTCATAAACAAAAATGCAATCTCATAAAAAAACAACATTGTTTATGAGATTTAAAATTTGATTTTCTTTGGTCTAGCAAAAGAATTAATTCATCAGCAGTGGTGAGCAGGGTACACCAATACCTTAAAATCAGTATTTTCATGAGCTAACTCTAGTAAAAAATGCAACAACGTGAACAGGACTGTGTATAAAAAATAAAAACATTACAATTCGATTATAAAATATGGTACAACGAGATTAATTAATAAAAAAAAAAAACATTCGTAATCAATCATCATCATTACTTACATATACTCGTCTGAAAGGACAACAATTGTACGCATTGCCCAGTAGATCGCGAATTTGAATAACCTTAACAAGCAAAAGATTAATTCTAAAACTAAAAAAAAATTTCCATATATCTTGAAAATAAAGACATAAGATTAGTACCTGATCACGGTAGAGATCGATCGAAAATGATGGATCTTGAAGGAGAAAAACTTTCAGAACTGATGGACCTTCTGCATGATCCACTCGAGCTACTTTCATAAATCGAGTGCTTCCCAGGCTGAACGAATAATTATTTGCATATTTATATACAACTAAATAACTAAAAAAAAGCATAACTCACTCCTTCTCTTTGTCTCGCTTTCTTCGTTACTGCTATGAATGACAATATTTTTACCAGTTTTCAATAAGATACATTTAAAATATTATATTTATTGTATATTAAAAGTTTAGCCAATATCTTTTATGCAACATTTACATACTACATATAGACTATTTATATTATCACACTCTTATCACTATTTATATAAATTCTAGTTAAAGCTATGTGAAAACATCCTAATATTCTAAAACATGTAAAGTACTTAAATCACAACATATCAAAATGGAAAACAGCATGTGTTTTAACTTATATCACATCTTGTTAAGTGATTATTGACAAAATCTATGTCTGATTTACAAATTTATTAATTGTGAAAATAACAACTAAGAAAATTAAAGAAAACCTTCCGACATATTTCACATCGTTAATATCTGAAAGATATGCTTCTACACCCAATATCTGATTAGGTATCTGTGCCGACAAAACATTTCCCATCTCTTCTCATCCTTCCATTATCCGATGCATTTTAACTTTAAAGGTAACCCTGAAATAAAAAATAAAAACAAATTTTGTGCGCAAATTCTGCAGCAAACGTTACCGTTCATCGAAAACAATATTTGCCACAGAAATGACATATAAAAGTGTTAGCGACCCAACTTGTTCTTGACATTACAGCATAATAAGGACATAAATCAAATAAAAGTGTTACATTTCTTGAAGCAATGCAAATCGCACAATTTTTAAATTCAAACGATCTAACGTTTCTTGACATTAGCAAGTAAAGAGTGAAAAAAAAAGAAACTTGCAGATAACAAAAGAAACGGAACACGTAACATCCCGTCACGTAAAAAAAAAGAACACACTAATTTATAATTGAAATTAATCTCGCATTTTATCACAGCCCGGTAAATGCAAATCAAAATCTCATGGGTAATTGATTTTACAGATAGACTATCGAAATTTGATTTTCAGGCTGAAATCTGTGAGTTAAAATTATTTAACGAATTTAAAAGGCAAACGATAAGTGAGTAAGAATTAATCAAAATTTTGCTGAAAAGTTTGAAATAGAAATTAAAGGACAATTTCTATTAATACTTCAATAAAATTAAAGTATAAAATTCAATTTAATTTTAGAGTAATAATATTAAAATTTTATTTGGCAAAATTTCAGATTATTCAATTATCATAGATTATGATGATAAAATTAAATCTGATATTTAACTCTTTATATGAAAATATAATTATATTTAATTGTTTGTTTATTTTCCCTTTCCCTAAGTTTCTAATTAGCAGATTGATGTAAATTTGTCAATTAATACCGTAAGCTATTGCTCAACAATTTGACTATTGTGACACATACATACATTTATTAATATTAACGTTGACAGATTGATTACATTTATTAACTTCGAACAATTTATACAATTACAACTAATAATTGACAAAGTGATCACAACAAATTAGCTACAATTTTATTGCTCAATCAACTTTCAAATATCAGATGACAGCAATATTTCTAGATCTATTCATCATTTACATTATTCCATTTTTCGTTATGCCTCTTAGTGAGCTCAGAAAGGTATTTATTTTTTTTTTCTATTTTCTTTTTTATGCAATAAAGAAATTCTAATATGAATTATTAATTCTTATATATATCATCACTAGACATATTATGTAATTTCTGATAAACATACTTTACTTTTTCAAACACTCAAATTTTGCGCTTTGTTTACATTTTGCACTTTGTTTACATTTTGCATTCTAACTCATAATATTATCCATACGAGTGAATAAATTAAAATGATTTTCAATAATATCCATATGTACGAGTGAATAAAATGATTTTCATCAGTTTATCATATCCATTGCGGAGCGGATATATATAATCCGTTTATTTTATTCAAGTAATTTATTCGAGATTCTCGAGATTATTCAATTTCATCAAATTTTATTAAAAACACTAAATTCTCTTATATAATTCAATGAAATACATGTTTCCTTTTTTTTCCAGCTCATTTTTTCGAAAGTTTCAGAAATACTCGGGAATGAATTTCAATATAGCAGCTGAAGAAATGCGACGCCTCGATGGTGAACCAAATGATGAAGAAAAATTGCAATTATATGGTCTTTACAAACAAATAATTCATGGAGATATACCATCCGCTGAAGATTATCGTCCGTTTATCTCTCCTTTCCTCCATTAAAATTATTTCATAAACTGTATAACCAGTGCGGGAATACTTTATTCATAATTACAATTCTTTTCATACTTAAACAAAAACTAATTCTATGTTAAGATTTGGCCTTTCATTTTATATTTTAGATTTCCCTTGTGTCCTAAATCCGGAAACTGGAAATATTTCTATAGTTTTCAAAAATAATCATTTATGGTTAGAATGCATATAGAATGTACAACAAAATGCTTAAATTTTTATTTAAGGAACAAACATTCGAACATATGCCAGCATAAAAATATGTAATTTTTTTTTTTGAAATTTGGAAAGAAATTAGTATTCAAAACTAATTGCACTTCACTGTTCTTAACAAAGCCTTTATTTTGTCCTGATTAGAAAGTTTTTAAAAAATGAACGAAATGTTTTAAACACCGGATCCACTTCGTATTAATCCACTGTTTTCTAGCCAAACCATCCGGAACTGATCAATGGAATTTGCGTAAGTACAGTGCTTGGGTAAAAAATAAAGGTTAATTTTTTATATGCTATTGAATTTGACTTCCTCCACAACAAAAATGAATTTGTAATACCGATTTAAATTTCTAATTTATCAATTTTTTCCATTAAAAATATCTGTACAACGTTAATTGGTAGAAGGACTGAGAAGTAATTCCACAGGAGGACTGAGAGCGGTCAGAAAAAATGAGTATTTCATTAACATTCTAACAGTGAAATTGACCACACTTTGCTAATTTTGTAAAGCACCATAAAAAAAAAAAAGCAAAAGGAACTTCTGGGATATCTCTCGTTCTTCATCCACCTTATCTGTTTAGACTACATGATTAACTCATTAAAAGCACTACATGAGACAGAATTAGTCGAAAACTATGCTATGATGCAAAGATGAACTGGAAACTGAACAAAAAACAAACAGCTATTAAAATATAATAATGTTCAGGAAAAGATCGGCAAAAGTGTGAAAAAGAGTATGTACAATTAGCCGAAGAAATGATCAAGAAATATGGTCGTAAAATTGTACGCTGTAAATGGAACAGTGAAGTTTGGACTGTTGATTATTGATGGAAATTTAAGTGAAACAGAATAGAAGTATTGAAAAAATTACAGATTATTAATGTCTCCTTTTTCCTCATTAAGTAACATTGTAATTAACATGATTATTCTGTGCTACTTCCGGATGCTGAAAAAAAAAAAAGAGTAAGATGGTTCAGAATCAAGCTATGCAACACAAATTATTTAAATTATGAGCGAAGTCTAGTGCTTTTTAACAACTTGATTTTCAGAAGATCTAGAGGTAAAGTGGTGATTGCAATGTTAAATCTTTTATCTTTTTCATCAGTATTATCATCAACCTGTTATTCCGAATATGAAAAACCACTGCAATGAACTATGAAATGGTTGATTTAGGATTCTGGATTTCATTGATAGAACCATCGTATTCATAACAATCACAAACTTGGAAACTTACATCGATTTCCAACAGTTCCATTGATGCTTCAAATACACAATCACTGATCTTCTTCTGTACTATTAAACCAAGCCGTGGATTTCGAATCGAAATTGCTCGTACTTTTTTTTCCACAAACTGACCTGAAACAGATTTTAAAAGAGTATCAGACACAATAGTACAAAACAACAAAAAGTATTAAATTGCTTTAGTTGAGGAATCAATTTTTGAAATGGATATCATAATTTGGAGCTGATCATAATGAACTAAAAGCAATACCCAAAAGAGTGAATTCGTCGATTATTTCTCTCCCACTCTTTCGGTCAATACCATGTACCATTTGTAATGCACTGGACCGCCTTTTCGAACCAACAACTGGTGGGCATGTAGCATCCGGTTTTACTGTAAGTCAAGAAATTGCTAGTAAATATTTTTTTCACTGCAGGTTAAGGATGCAATTCACCACTGTTCGAAAAGCAACATATTCTATTAATTAATTTATGCTACCTATATTTCACACATCAGTTTTAGTTAATCTTATGTTCCATCTTTCAGTCCAGTTCATTTGCATATTCAGATTTCATATTTTATCTTTTCTTAACTTTGTAGAGAAATTTTTACTTATTTGATTCTTTTCTAATGTTTTCTATACATACATAACTTACACATCTTTTTTCGCATCACTTCTCTGTATATTTAGCATTACTTTGAAATGGTTGAAATTAAATTCAAATTGAAATGAAGACAAGCAAGAAACTGAACCATCATGATTTGACGATTCGTCGCCGTTTTGATGAAATGAGCTATCGCTAAACTGTTCAGCTTTTGAGACTGCTTCAATCGTTCGTTCGATATTTGCTAACCGTTCGATATTCGCCAGGGCTTCGTTAGTCTGATCAACCGAACTGTATGGATTTCCAGCTGTACTTGGACTACATGTTACAGTTACAGTACTAGTCACAGGATATAATCCACCATCAGTTTTGGATGGATAAATAGGATACGATGATTGCTGTTCGCCTTCTTTACGTTCCTGTGACATCAAGGCACTTGGTGTTGAATATGGACGTTGTTGCTGGACGTTCCGATCATCCAACAGAAACGAATTATACAAATAGCTCCTAGAAATGGCATTTGTAATATTAAATCTAAGTAAATTAGGATTAAAAAAAAAAATAAGACAAAACATATTTATTAAAGACTCAAATAATGATTATGATCATCATAAAACAACAAGAAACTAATTCGAAGATTAAAAAATATGTAAGAAAGCAAGAATAAGCTTTTTTGCATAAATTTGAAGTGCAGCTCTACTTTACAGTTGAAAGAATGGTTCGGCAGCTAATCCAAAGAGGGATTCCATACTCTTCTTCGAACTCTTCTGTTAATTATGTAATGGAACTTGTCTTATACTATCCATCTTTACCTATTTCCATCTAAGGGATGTTCTTCATTTTTTGAGCATTCCATTGATCAAAGTAACGATATTCTTTAAAAAATTTATTACACTGAAATTTTTTCTTTCTCTAAAGAAAAAAAAGACATTATTTTGCATAATTTGAAGCTGCCACAGTGAGATACAGAATTGCAGAATATGACTTACTCTGCAGTTCCGGCTTTAAAAGATTCCCAAGGACAATTATAGTAAGAATGCGACATATCTTTCAATGTCCAAAGTAAAAAGATTAAGTTCGAAAATCGAAAAACCAGGTATTGAACTAGAAAAAGTATATGGTTGCAGCTGTCGGAGCACTATGCAATTGCTCGTTTCTAATAGAACCGATGCTCTAAGAGCCACAAAATGGTTTCTGTATGAAAATCAATAGCGGATAAAAATCGAATAATCAGAAAGCAATCGAATAAATCGAATAATCAGAAAGCACAAAAAATCAATTTGAGAAGTATATTTTTGAAATTCTATGTTAAAGCTTTGGTTAACTCCTACAAATCTTATCTTTTCTAGTTGAAAACGAAACAAGTTGTGGTTCCTAGTAAATCCTAAGCTTAAAATTCTGCTTCGTTTCTAATATTTATCTTTGCTTTAAAAAAACATTAATTCTTTTCTTATGAAATCTCACTTAAGGATACGATGCAAGACCTAATTCACTGATATTATAAACAGAAAATAGCATTAACAATACACTGCAGTATGCTATAAGTCAAGAACTGATGTTAATAATTTCTTTTTTATGGTTGTATCGAAATCTGAATATTTTTAAATTTCATACAATGTCTGACATTCATAATTCAGTTTGAATGGAAAGTGATTAAGAACCGGGAGGTCACAGTTTGCCTTATTATAATATCTCTTGTCTAACTATTGATGATATAAACAAATGTTGTCGCATTTATGAAACATACATTAAAATTACATCACCATAATTCTCGTCCTACATAATATAGTTCAACGTTCAAGAAATGACAGTTCAGTGATTGAGTTAATAAAAAAAGAGGGCAGTGAACATAATTTTCGGAATTTTATCTTGCATAGTTTTTTATTTTAAGAACTAACATTGGATCATTTGCTTCGGCAATGTCAGTAGCATCCGTAAATTTCAACATTTGCATGAAACGCCATGGCTTTATTTGAACATTTGATACTTCCATTCGACGCTTAGCTCGTCTATACTGATCTCGTAAATGTTGCCATTGACGACTTGTATGAGTACCTAAATTTTTTATGTTAAGAAGCGAGAGAGAGAGAGGGAAAGAGTGAAAGAGAAAAAAATACGTAACATATAAAACATATAACTATCCAAAAGAAAAGTGCAAAATTAACCTCAAAATTAATTTAACTCCCAGACCAATTTCGATTTTTGTAAACTTTCGAAATTATTTAGTAATGTTATAATCGCTATCAATACATCATCAGCATTATCATTATCATCATCATCATCATCATCACTCATTTCAGTTTTAATATCTGTATTATCCTCTTTCCAGAAATTTACAGGACAAATAACCTCCCTTTTTTTTCCGAAACATAGTACACAAAAGCATATATATATTTGCATATGTATCATGCATAGAGATTGGTCAGTCAAACTCCTCTCCTCTAATTTAAATAGTACAGTAAACATTACGACACAGACAACGTTGAATCTATGAAATGAATCTATGGAAGTCCACTCTTTCTCTCTCTCCCTCTTTTCCCATCTTTTTCACTTTCTCTAATTATTCCTTTTCAACTTTCGAAAACCAAAATTTCGTATAAAAACAAACAACTACTCGGCTCTATTCCCGTACGTCATGTCTCTTCCAAATGTTAGAACGTAATTAGAAGGCATTACTAGTAGAACGAGATGAAAACGTGAGCAACAACAACAATCTGATTTCGATCCAGAATTAAAAATTCAAAAAGAAAAAAAAAATTATGAACTCGTTTTGCAATACGAGAAATCTAAGCTAAAATATAGAGTTTGATAGTTAGAAAGACAGACAGACAGAGAGAGAGACAGGAGAAGATGGTGAGGCGAGAAAGAATGAGAAAAAAGTGGTTGTAAACAATTCTGTTTACAACTTTCAATATTTTCACTCAATACAACCACCTGTCTTACCGCCTCAATTCTCAACCTCAAGTATCCATTATTGCCATTACCGCAATCACTGCAACGATCATCATTGTCATCATCATTGTGTGTTATTCTGATTCTGATTATTATTTATTACCAGCATTTATTAATTATTATTATTATTATTATTATTATCATTATTATTATTAGCATTTCTAACTGCTAACCCTTAAGCATTATACCGAACATTTCCGACATTTCCTGAGCAATTTCCCAAAAAATTTGTCGTTTTTTTGCAGCATTCCGATAATCAACATTGGAAAAATTCCATATGCATTCCTGACGTTGTACCGACTTTATTAGTACCTCACGCATAGCATCCGTCCATACGATCGTTTCATTTGACATGTTGTGTTGCTGCTGATATGTGGAATCTTCTGAAAGCACAGAAATTTTGGAGAATTTAAAATGAAGTATGAGAATTTCACAAGAAGTTTAACACGGCCACCGGATTTAACTAACAATCATAACATATTTTTGATGAGCTGCAATGATGTTTTCTTTTCTTTCAACCATGGAAGTTTAAAGCGACAATTAACTTTTGGATTTTTTAGATAAAACGTTCAGCCTCAAAATCCAAAACTTCAAGGATAAGTATGTACTTTTCTATTCCCTTCTCATATTTCTATGCAATATGGAACGAAATATCTGAATGTAACTTGAATATGGGAACTATAAACTGCTACATGAATTCTAATTAATGCTAAAATCCAACAATTGTAAATTACCATATCTTAGTCAAAGTTTCAAATTCGAAATTTCCATATCATTGAGGAGATCGAATTCAATTATATGAAAGACTCAAAGTGTAATACTGTAGTATATATTATACTTTTCAGTTCCTTCCTTACATTTAGTATTTTCCTTGTCTGTCACTATGCAACATTCTGCAAATTCATTAATGCTAAGCCTAAACAATGGAGGAATAAGTAAGCCTAGCAGTGATAACACATTGCTCTCCCAAATATGTCACTAACCATCAACAACACAAACAATTCCAAACAACAACAGCAACAGGTTACTCCTCGATCAATAACGAGTAAAGTAACTGATAATGATAATGGGAGGTGATCGGGATAGCGGGATATACCGCACCATAGCATAGCATGCCGCAAGTGACCAACCATACAGTTCCATCACTCTCCTCCACAGGGAGTCGACCTGTGGTACCACCGAAGCCGATACTGGTCCACTCAACACACCGACAATGTGTATGTCTGTGAATAAGCACGTGTCTGTGTGTGTATGTGTGTGTGTAGCTCAGGGTAGCACAATGAGTGTTGATGTATGCCGCACACACACACACACACATACACGCACATATATAAATCCATACACATAATACATACATAAACATATACAGTCACCGACTAATTTTTATCTGCACCGCCGTTTGCTTTGCCATAATGATTTCCACACGTCACATACACTTACCGACATTTTCATGGTGCGTAAATCACTATTGCATACATCACACATATATGCAGACAATCATGTATGTATGCCTACAAGTTCACGTGCATTCATTCGTACGTGCAGGCAACGTAAACACAAATACGTACAAAATAAATAAGTACAACAATCACATATATATAAACAGAGCGAAACAAACGCTTACAAACATACATCCACCGACACAAACATTTCCTGCCAATGTGTATGCGCATGTGTATGTGTACGTGTGTGTGGGTGTGTGAGTGTGTGTGTACGTATGTATGTATGTATGTACATATGTATGTGTGTACGTATATATGTATGTATATATGTATGTGTGTATGTATGTATGCATGCATGTACGTATGTATGCATGTATGTATGTATGTATGTATGTATGTATGCATGTGTGTAGAACTAAAAACGTAGAGACTGATGAATTCAAGTATGATACGTAACATATGTAGTATACACATACACACATACACGGACGTGACGAGAATCTACACGAGGAAATATGCAGGTGGCAGTTATCCATAGACGTGGAAACATATGCATAATCACAGATATACACACATACATAAACATGCACAAACATACATACATAAACATGCACAGATATACAGACACCCATAGACTTTCACGGACATACATAGACATGCACAGACATACGCAAACATACATGTATTACACAGAAATGTGACAGACATGGACCAGTCATACATAGACATGCACAAACATACTATGCATACAGACATTCACATACGTTATTCCAGGTGAAATATATCTAGTATACGTGTACATACATACACATATACATGCATACATACATACATGCAGACACATATGCTACACACATAATACATGCAGACATACCCACTACATACACACACATACATAACATGTATATGCAGACATGCATACATACAGACACACCAACTATATATATACCTAACCACCACATGCACACATACATTGGCACACAGACACAGACATACATACGCATACACGCGTACACATAATTCAGTATCGACCGAGGAAATCGTTTTTTGGACAGAAGGGAATTTGTTAGTGGAAGCATAAAAGATTATAGAAAGACCTGATATGCGAGAATAACCGCAAGGAGAACTGTTTTAATGCAATCCTCGATAATTTGCTTATCCCACCGGTCTCTTCTCCGTTAGATAGATTAAACCGGAATTCCGTATATCAGAACTGGAATCAAACTTGTCACGCAAAAGAAACTTATCATACTTGCCGATTCTCACTGATATCTTATCCGATGATTCATTCGGTATTGATGTCATCGAAGTGAAATATTCATCGAGAACTGCCATCCTAAAATGAATACTCTACTCTCCTCCTCTGCTCCATAATAGCAAATTGATACTCACATTACGCACATACGTACATGTACACGTACGCAAGGATATATACGGATACACGTGCAGAGGGTTATCGGAAGTATTTTTGAAATTTGATTATCGATAAAATTTGAAAAAAAGTTAAAGTATGAGAAAGATAAATTGTTTGATGGAATAGATTCCATAAGTTCGTTTTCAAATATCAACCAATCATCTACATTTATTTAATAGCAACGATCCGGTCCGTTTAAATCATCTACGTCTGTTTATTAGAAACGATCCGATCCGGTCAGTCATCGCTGTTCATTTTCCGGTAGCAATAACTCTACACTCTTCCGATTTCGTCTTTTCGAGAATAAAGCTGAATTTAGGACTGGATGTTATTAATTAACCTTCCAGTTTCAGAGCATAGTCTGAGAATAGACCAAATTAAATCTTTCTACGTTACACGCTTACGTTATGTTTAATTATAATAAATATAATTTTAAGAGGAATTGAAATAGTTAAAATTTAAATAAAACAATTTTAAAAAATCATCTAATAATTTAATAAAAAATTATGGAATAATACTTAAAAAGTTTACTAAAGAACGATTAAAAAAAGAAATCTTAACTAATTGTAAAATGATTGATTCATCACAGTTATTATCTCGAATTTATGCAAATTAAGTTACACATATCTGATCTGTGCTACCTGTGCACTCTCTCTTTTCTGCCTTATCGATGATTGCATTATTCATAAACGAGAAACATCGAGAAAGATTAGAACGAATAAAAAAAGTTTTTTTTTTTCCCCTCTCCCCCCCCCCCCCCACTGAAAATGTATTTTTAATTCTTCAAAAATTATTTCAAATTAAAAAATAAAAAATCGATTTGAAAAGTTTTCCAATTTGATTACTCATGCAATCATGCTAATCTATATTTTCTCTTTTCATATAGCAACGGCGAATATTGATTGAAACTTTAGTCTTTTCAATGTTTCAATTACTTCGTAGATGTAATTGTGTTTATTTTATAAGTCTTAAAAAAGTCCATTTGCAATATTATCAAAAAAAAAAGTTTATAGTTGTAAATTTAAAAAAAAAAAAATACCAATGATAGTTTTGAATTTTCAAGAATTCATTTTATCATAGTTAAAATTGACATTAGAAAGCAAAATAGATGAATTTTTTTTTCCTTTTATAGCCAAAAAAAAAAAGTAGGATCTAAGTATAAGTAAGTGTAATTCGACAGGTATAATAAATTTATTTATTCATTATTTCCAATATTATCTATCAAATTGCTATTTCATTTTTATTTTTTTTTTTTTTTTTTGTTGGAATTTGAATTTCAAGCATTTAATAATTATGCAAAATATATACAATATTATAATTAATATATATCGTCTGGCTGAAAGAATTTTAATAAATTTGCATTCTGAAAGTATTACCTGAAAGTAAAACTTATTAAAGTTTTACATGAAAGTCTTTCATAATTGAAAAAAAACACAATCAAAAAGAGAAGAGAATTGTAATAAATTTTCATTTTGAAAGCATTAGAGAAAAATTAATTAATATTTTACATGAAAATCATAAATTGAATGAAATTTTATTAATTAACATAAATTTCTAATTGAGGAAAAAAATGCTTGAAAATGATTTATATATGTGCATAGATCTTCCCTTCCTTCGAATCTTTATATATTCGAAATTTGAAATATATCACTCGCATATATTTCAATTTTGAATTTATTTTATTTCTCCATTTCAACTATATTTCTTTTATCATTTCCACTTCACTTTATTTTGTGTTTTTCATTATAAATTTTTGTCTTTGTACTTTTTTTTTTTTCATTTGTAATATTTATCAGAAAGTTCTGATATGATTGTATTTTGACTGTATTTTATTACTAAAAAATGGTATTGAGTGAACAAAAAAAAATTCATTGAAATATTTGGAAATTTTCTAATTAAAATACAAAATGCTCACATTCAATCTTATTTTCTTAGTAGAGAAAAAAATTAAATGATAAATCAAATCTGATTAATTATTGCTACAATGCTGGAAATTTCGTTTAAAATTATTTTGATTGATAATTATTGAAGAAAAAGGGATCTGTTTAATAAAAATGATTGAAATTTTTAAAAAAAAGTTAAGAAATATTTTAAATTATTTGATTATTTGAAATAATTCATTGAAAAATGTATCACAAAATTATTTTATTTCAAGCATACAAATTGTCTTCAATTAGACAACAAAATCATATCAACAGTAAACATATAAATCGTATAAAGCCAGCAAAGTTTTATTCATCTAAGGCTTTTTCTCTCCTTTAATTATATTAGAAGGTACTATCAAATGTTTAATTTAACTCAGGTATGTCGAGAGTGAAGCAAAAATTAGATTTGAACCGAACTATGCACTTCCCAAATGTTAAATGTTAGAAATTAATTTTGGGTCACCTATGTGTAATAGTTAACGTGTCACACTATTCATTTCTTGCTTATCAATTTAAATTAAATTCAAATTAAATGATATGATGGATAAAATGAATTCCTCTCACATTAATATTTGTGTAAATGAGAATAGAATGAAGAAGAATTTACAAAATTTGCATATATGCTTAAAATTATAAAAATCAAAAAACTTTGAATGAATCAAAAATTTTATTCAAAACAAAACAAAGAAAAAAAAAAAAGAAAAAAAAATCGAAGGGTATCCATCACCCGAATTTACTGCAGAAAATATTGGAAATACATTGGAAATTTTTTGAAATATATCTGATTTTGTATTTGAGAAATTAGTAATAGCAAATGTTGAGTGATAAGATGTGAAAAATTTATAAATTGGATGAAATTTTGTGCAAATTAAATGCTATTACAAATTATTACAAGAATTAATTGTATCAAAAGCATCGTTAATTAAAAGAAGCTAGAAGAGAAATTGATAAGAAGATAAGAGATATATTCAAGTATTTCCTTTGAACTGTAATTTCTCGACACAAATAGCCATACTACATTACGGTATGGGAGTTTAATAGAATATAAAATGTTTATATTAAATTTTTCAAAAATTGACTGAACAAATAGAAAAGTAAAATGTAAAATCTAATTTACAAAAAGAAGGAAAAAAGAAAAAATGATAAGATAAATTTTATCACTAAATAGTATTAATGAATATGAAAAGATGAAAGAGTATACCCGAAACAATAGGCAAAATATTTCCCTTTATTGAAGAGATTGTAAAGAATGCAGACAGTTCATTTAATCTTATCAAATATACCCGAAACAATAAGCAAAACATTTCTGTTTATTAAAGAATCGTATTATCAACCTTATTTAATACATTATCTTTTATCATACATGCACATTTCTTATCAATCGATTGTTATCGATCTTATCAAGCTACTAATCAATTTTATTGTCGTATTAATTAAATCTTGGAAATTTACAGAAGCTAATTGTAATGGGTATCTTTTCCTTATCGATTATAGAATACAACTGCTTGATATGATAAAGTATCACTGCTTCAATGACTTATATCATATCATATCATATCAGTTTAAAACTGTTTACTTCATTCTACCCATTTGCTCATTTTATCTTATCATGTCGTGTTATCATAGCACTAATTGTAATTTAGCATTAAGAAAAAAAGGAAAGCTCAGTTAATTACTATGCAAAGTTTTAGTTTCATCCAACGATATATTACACATGCATAAACGAATCAAATACACATTAAAAAAGCAGAAATTAACAGAATAAAATGTAAATATGCACAGCTACCAATACTAAAAATAAAGGTCAATACAGGCATAATAGGCAAATTTTGATGAGCAAATAAGAAAAATACAAAACTTTGTCAGAAAATGATAGTAATGAATAATGAATGATAATAATAATAATTAACAGTAATAGTGACGATAATAATTAATAATAATAATATATAATAATTGATAATAATGTGTTCAGTAATAAAAAAAGAAAAACTGCGTCATTTGTAAAGCATGCAACAAAAATTGTCGTTCAAAACCGGTGGTAATTCGAGAAATTTCGAAAATAGTAAAAAATACAACAATAAAGAAGTGATATTTCAAAGTAATGTAAAAAAAGAAAAGAACACATCAAAACAGGTTGACCGTTAACTTCTAAACCTCTGAACCTTGAACTTATTGTAAATGAAAGACTTACAGATATCTATATAACTTTATTTGAATGAATCCAAATTGGTTAAAAATTGTTACTCACTAAATATGAAATAAATAAATTACAGAGTACTAAAATTGCTAAAATCATCTATAACTTTTTCATAATGAACCAATCAATGTAACTTTTTTCAAAAAAAAAAAAATATTATGCGCACATATTGTTTAAAATGAGCATATTGACGTATATTTTGTTAATTTTCAAGGATAAAATATTAAAAAGAGAAAAAAGAATCAATGTGTATTCTAATTAAAATGAAATGAATTATTGGTCACCTATGCACGATACGAAGTGGTTCTTGGTCATTTTCTAAATCAATTTGAAAGCGATAATTCTGATGAAAAAGATGATGTTCGTCTTGTTGCTGCTCATGCTTCTGCTTCTGCTTCTGCTTCTGCTGCTGCTGCTGCTGTTGTTGTTGTTGTTGTTGTTGTTGACAAGCAATTGGGACATTATCATCAAAAGACCGTTGTTGAAAGCTTTTTGATATTGTTGTCATCTTCGAGTGTGATCCACTAACTCCAACAATCACTCGATGTGCACGACCGATCATTCCATTATATTCCCGCGGTGGTAGAGAAAGTTTTTGTTGTTGTTGTGTGTATGACTGATACTTTCGTAGATTATCAGGGTATTTACAAGACTTCGTCTTCGTTGTTGTTGAAGATATGTAATAATTATTATTTTGCTTCAAATTACCATATTTATTGCCATTGTTGAGAGAAGGAGTGGACATAAGGTGACCATTATCTGAATGATTCCATGAGATATTGTCAATTGGTACCGCATATACCTTTGTCACAGCTACACCAATATTAGCATAATGTATACCATCAATTCTTTCCTGCAAATCAATTCTTTGTTGTTGTTGTTGTTGTTGCTAATAAATTTTATTTTCTAGCAATCACACAAGAATTTAGTTAATTTAAAATAAAAATTCCCATATCAGTAAAGGAAGGAAGAGAACTGCAAACGACATTCTATGAAATTATAGCAAATAAATTGTAATTTAATTCAATTTACTAATATAATATTTTAAATTTTTTTTTTCTTTTTTTTTTTGAACAATTAATGTTAAAACATTCGACGCAACAATGTTGCTTTCTTCATGTTTGCTACTAATTGGTCAATAAATCTATTTATTTAAGTATTATATATGTGTATATTCAATACTTAAATAATCGGAATTGAAAAATGCAGAAAATGAATTAATAAGAAAAAAAAATTCATGCAATTTGCGTGAAAAGAAAAGATAGGAAAAAAAAAAAAAGATAAAATCATTTTTTTTAATCACAACCACACAAAACATTAGTATTCTTTAAAAAAGTTTCCACTTTATTTCTGATATTTTAAGTAATTAAGTATGATAAATTTTTTGTTAGTAAATAAGATGATGCTAATTTTTAGTAGCTAAAAAGTAATACTGCTTGCTATTTTTTGATAAATTTTAATTAATGTAATATAACACAACACTGTATTAGTAACATGCTCATATTGAAATTTTTTAATTATCATTAAATGTTGGTTTCTCTAATTTTGCAATAAAATTATTAGGAACGATAGAAATAAGCTGATCATATGCCAGGAGTGAATTATCGGATGAAAGTTTAGCATAATGCTAATTCATTAGGTTATCTGTCTAGATTACTTAATGAATTAGCTAGATTAGAAAATTCTTAATAATAACTAAACAAACAAACTTTCAAAACAAAAAAAGGATCTTAAATATAACACATTCACTTACTTATCCTTCGACTTTTAGCCTGCAATTAATTAAACAATAAATTGTTGATGGCTTAAAAAAAAAAAAAAAAGAAAGTAAGTAAAAGACACAGAGCAAAGAATTTATAGTTGAAGAACAAGAAATCAATTATTAGATGTAGAAGAAAATAGGTGCTAAACAATCATTTAATTAATTTTTCATTAATTACAAAATACATTATTAATTGTAAACTACTATTAATTAGTACTACAAATATATTCTAATACTTAATATCCCTATTATTTCATATCATTTATTTTTTCTTTCCTGTAAAAATAATATCCCAAAAGATTAAAAAAAGAAAAGCTAACCGAAGTTGTTTTAGTATTGAGAGAATTTATTGACGTTTTGTCATCGAACGCTTCGTCACGTTCTCGATCTACTGATGCTTTTGATTGAATTTTATTCTTCGAAACAAAATGTCGATTATTTGATGCTACCTTTGACTCATCTTTCTTATCATCTACACCAATGGTAGTTGTTTGACCGGTAGTGGAAAAATTAGTTCCGAATGGTTTTGGTATCGAATTTAGTAAATTTCCACTGTTAAATGTTGATGTTTCCTTTGAATTGATAGAATTTTTCTTCATTACTGGTTTTTTATCGGTAGTACTAATTTTTCGGGTGTAACGATACGGTCCAACACCTTCTCGTGTTGGTATTGTCGTTTCCTCTTCAACTATCGATGCATTTATTATGTCTTTCTTGGAAGACTTAATTAGCGGTGATATTTTATCGTTCTTTTTCAAACCTGATGCAATCTTCTTAGAGGTACCAGTTGAACCATTTCTTGTTGACGTTGAAATATGCAAAGATTCGGCAGATTCTTCATAATCCAATGAATTCTGCTTATGAATTGGCTTTGTGATCGTTGTTGTCTTCGATGAATTCTTCATTTCATCCGATTCAACAGCCTTTTTACGTGAAGATCGACAGGGCTCTTCAGCTTTACGAATAATACCTAGAGATGATGGAGGTGGCTGTGATTCATCATCCTTAATCCATGGTGGCTTCTTAATTCGGCCTGGTTTGACTGCTTCTTCGGATGTTAAATGAGCTTCTGGTGGATTCTCGAATCGTTCCTTAAATTTAGAAATATCAACTTTTGGCACAGCCCGTATTAAATGATTATTTCGTCCTTCTGCTTCCTTTTCTGGTTCAGAGGATTGATCTCCTAAGATTTCATCAGCTCTCGCCGGTGCTGCATAGGTTTTTTTGGACGTTGCTATTGGTTGTTCATTTTTAACAGACGATTTTCGTCGTAACTTTGATCCTTTCGTACCCGATTTCTTTCTCATAGAACTTTTGGTATTTGAAGTTTTTTGTTTTATCGGCGGTATTTTTTTCTCCTCTTCCACCATTTTCTCCCCTTTTTTCTGGCACCAAATAGGTTGAGAAGCTTTGTTGGTGTCATCATCGGTGGAAAATTTACGAACCATTTTTCGAATGCTACTTTCATTTGCAGTTGCCATCGCTTGTTCATGTTCTTCAGTATGTCTTGTTGAAGAAGCAGACACGGTTGGCTGTTCTACGGTTGTGTCACCAAAAAGTTTTCTCATCCGAGAAATACCAAATTCATTACTGTCTACTTCTCCATCTAATTTCCTGCACCGATTTAAACTTTGTACAGGACTGTGCGATGCCTCTCGGTCACTACCACCAAACATTTTGATTCGATCACGGGCCGAACCAGCTGGAATTTCAGCTTCAATCTGTTTACGAGTTGGTATCGGTGATGAATAGCATTCATCAGCTTTTCGCTTTTCCGGCAATTGCAGTGTTATCGTTTCCGGTTCGCATTCCACAATATCTTCATCATCATAATTCACGACATCAACACTAACATTGATCAATGGTAATAGATTTAATGGTGATTTTGTAGACGATGAGCTATGAGAGGTTGATGTGGCACCTAGTCTGCCACTAGCTTCCGGAACAACTGGTGAAGCAAAGTATAAGTCGTTGGATTTTTCAGGAGGAATATTTGAAAGAGAGCTAAACCTTGAGGTACCAATGCTGGAAAGATCGCTCAGGCTTTGGCTACAGTAAACGTCATCCTCATAATTTGACGTCGAAGGTGACGATCGTCCTGGGGACCTTACGCCGGAATCATCGTCATTGATTATCGCAGAACTTTTGTCATTTGTAACCGTTTTCCTTAACTTTACACCTTGCCGTATGGAACGTAACAACTCATCTCGATCCACGGTAACTTTACCGCCTAGTTTCATCAATGCTGGTTTTGGAGATCGTGAACGTCGGATGGGTTCTGCGGATGGAATCGGAGGTGGTGGTGGTACAAGTAACGGAGGTGGCGGAGGTGCCACGGCAGGTTCCAATGGAGCATGATGATCTGGAGATACGTCGCGGCTGACTGGAAACGGTGAACTACGATCGTTGGTTTCTACTTTACGTAATTTAACACCACCTCGTATTGATGCTAACAGTGCATCGCGGTCTATCGGCTGCTTACCGCCAAGTTTTAGCAGTGCCGGATTCGTGACTGGTTTCAATTTGTTTTGGTGCACTTGGGATGATAAGAAATCCGGTGACGGTGGAGGTGGTACAGGCGGTGGTGGAACAGATGTAACATCCAGATGTGTTGCTGAGTTTGATAACATAGCTGTTTCTGGAATGGGAGATGCTGCACGACTTAAATCATTACGGACAGTTCCGACACCGATAGGTGCACTTCGGTCATTGGTTACAGTTTTGCGTAGTTGTACACCGCCATGAATTTCGTTGAGCAACTTATCGCGGTCAAAATTGGCACTACCGCCAAGTTTTAGCAGAGCTACAGCCGGAGGTGCTTTTGGAGGTGGTGGTGCTGGTGGTACCAACGGTACATCTGTATTTTCGATATTTTTTCCATAAAAAACAGGTTTCTTAGCATCCGGTCGACTATTATAAGTAGAAGTGGAAGCGACAGAATCAGGTGGAGGTGAATAACCACCACTTCGTACACGTCCAACGCCAGTCGGTGCGCTTTTGTCGTTGGTAAGCGTGTGCCTCAGTTGCACACCACAACGAACTTCATCCAAAAGCTTGTCTCGATCAAATACAGGCTTCACCGTTACCAACTGAGGAGCTGGCTTCGATTTCGGCTTCAACTTCTGCGGTAGCTCAGGTGGCGGTGGTGCTGCTGGTGGAGGAGGTGGCGCTCTCGACTTTGACGTATTACGAGCCAAACTATGCTGGCCCATCTGTACCGGTCGAGCAAGATACATCGTATTTGGTAGAAAATATGGTTTATTTCAAGCAACTTTTTATCGAGCTATTCCGTTCGTATCGTTCGTTGATGGCATCCATAAAAGCATAACCAAATTCCTGAAATAGGCATATAAACGAAACATACAACAAAATGTGAAATAATAAATAGATAAGAGTGATCTGTTGATGCAATCAATCAATACCTAATCTATATCCATTTCTCATCAATAAATTAAAATAAGCTATTAACAAATCACAAATAATTTTAATTTATTGATGAATATTAGCTAAGCTAAAATCCTAAATTAAATATTTAAATAAATACTAAGTTAAACTTCCTTCATCTTACTCCTTCCATTTTGCAGTTACAACCCAAAAACATTAATGAAATAAAAATAGATTAAACATTAATTTCATTATTACTTAATCACTTTATCAAATCAAATATCACTTCCAAGTCCGAATAACACTCTTTCAAGATAATTTAAAAACAGTAATTAACATCCGTAATTAGTTTCATCAGAATTCCCTTATATTTTATTATGAAAATAAAATATATAAACCTTTTCATTCTTTTTTTCCCTCTCTCTTTCTCTCTCTCTCCCACATATAAACATTTAACTTTAAATTTAGTAGAATTAAAAAACATTTGAATCACAATGAATTACAAATAATTATCTCAAATTTAAGCTTATTTAAAATGTATTAATTGAAAAATGTTGCAAGAATAATTACCGCATGTTCGACGATAAATTTAACATTGTTATTTTTAAATTTTAATAATAAATATGACAATATACATCTTTTTTTTTTAAAAAAAAAGAAAAAAGGTAAAACATAAAGAAATGAAATTTTACTTATTTGATTGACTACATAAATAGTAACAGTTTAGTAAAATGAATTTTTAATAAATTAAAAATATTTAATTAAATTTTTCGTTAAATAATTTTTATTTATTTTAGATATAAAGAGAGAAGAATATTATCAATATTATTCTGTATGAATTATCAAATCGTTCCATAAAATTGTTACAATGGAATGAAACAATAAGCAATAAAGAAAGCCAGCTGTATATATCTAAAATAAAATAACGGTTAATTATCATATCATAAAAATTGATATTATTGATAAGAAGCAAAAAAAAAAAAAAGATCAGTTATAACCTTTATAATCGGATGACGTTCAATGAACATCACTGCAAAACGCTGTTGTCCTTGACCTCACAATTCTTCACTGATATCTTCAATCTGAAATAACAAAATAATTTAAAAATTTTTTTAATTCTTTAACTTTTTTCGTTTTTTTTCTCCCTTTCTCTCTCTCTCTCTCTCTCTCTCTCGTCTAGTCTCACATTTTGTACAGTTGAGAAACATTTCACACAAAAACTTTTGTATTTATGAAGAATGTAGAATTACATACTAAATTTCACGTACAAGCAAAACACGTCACGCAAAACACGTCACATTATTTATTAGAAATAATTTTTTGCTTATTGGATGATATTTTTGGTTAGTTTCTGAGTTTATTAGAATTTAGATTGATAAGTCCTTATTCAAATCAGCAAGAATTAACAATAACTTCTTGGTAACAATAACAAAAACAATAACAATAACAATAACAAATTTGTCACATTAATATTTGAATTAAAAAGAAAAAATAAAATAAAATACAAGAAATCTAAATTAAACTTAAGTTACAAAAAAAAAAACTTAAGAATGAAAATTTGTATAACTAATAATTGCAACTTAATTGTAGAATCTTTTGCGAACACAATTACTAATATTGTAATATTATAAATTAAAGTTCGAAGATATTTGCATAATATTTTAGATATAAAATGAAATTTGAGAAAAAAAAAAAATAAAATGAATTTGAAACAACAAACAATTCAGTAATATCCAATATACTAAGCCATAAAATTAGTTGCAAAAACGATTAAACTTCCAAATATACGAATAGAATAGCTCATTTATTAGATATTAGCTCAATTATTAGCTCAATTTCTTGAATATTCAAGAAAAAATGAAAAGTAAATGATTCAATTTGTGAAAGGGAATGAATAGTAGGTCAATTTTAGTTGACATTATCAAAGAGATGGGATAGAGAGAGACAGAGAGAGAGGGAGAGAGGAACAAGAAGTAATCGACTGAAGTATGAGATGGATGAACTGATTTTTGTTTAAAAACAATTGTTTCAACCAATTGGAAACAGAAATACTGCAAAAAATTGCAATGAGCGGAACTCGAAAAGAACTGAAACTGATTAGTGATAATAATGGATGATAAGATAAAATTAAAAAGTTGCAAGTATGAAATGAAATAGCTTGTTAGCTTGTTGAAAGCTTGCCTAGAAAAAAGGAAGAATGCTTAACAAAAATTTCAAAAATGATAATAATTAATTGCAGGTGAAAGAAATAAGCTAGCATTTTTATTATATTCAAATTCTAATCAAAATATACTTCTATTGTTGGATTAATTTGAAATCAAACAAGTGAAATTGAAAATTTTATCTGAAATAATAATAATAATCAAAAAAAAAAAAAACATCGTAAAATAGTTCGTTAAATTTTTTATTCAAAATTATTATACTACTCTAAATTTATTAACATAACATTATTCTGTTTAAAATTACTTAATTTTCTTTTTTTAAAAATTAAAATTTGAACTAATTTTTTCCCATTGAATAGCGAATGAATCAAATTTGAATCAAAATAAATATTTCCAAATTTTTATGATTTATTTTTCGTATAAATTAAATTATTGGCAATAATAGGTTTTTTTTCTAAAAAAAAAAAAAAAAACTTTATAAAAAGTGGGAATTTAATTGAGAATTTGAAAAATTTATAATAAAAAAAAAGTTCGGAAAAAATGGAATAAACATAATTTCATTTGAGAAAATTGGCTATTCTCTTCTGTATCATAGGGAAATTGATATGATTTGTGCATTTTTTTTTCAAATATTTTTATTAGCCATCAACATTAAGTTTACCATAGTTCATAAATAAATTTTTACAGTAATCTGAAGGTTAAACTAATCTGAAAGGTTTTTATAGTTATTTTAAATTATATTACTAAATATGAAATTTCACATGAAAATTTATCAAAAAACAAAACAATAGTTAAAATTGCATGAAAAAAAAAAGTATGAATTAAACGTTTTTGGTACAGAGGAAATTTAAATAAAATGATAAATGATTTTGCAACATAATTATTGAAAATAATTATTAAATGTAATTTAAAAAAAAAAAAAAAAAAAACTTTTTTTTTTAACAAAATGAAAAGATAAAAAAGAAATGTAAAGTTGTTGAAAGCACCTAAACGAATAACACAGCTAATCTTGGGAAGTTTGAAAAAGTTTTTGAACTTTATGAGAAAATTTTTCAACCTATGAGAAAAACAAAAAGGACATTTACATTATATTTATTTGTTAACATTTTTCTTATTTTTAAATTTAATGGAGAAATTGAAAAAAAGATAAAAATTGTACTTTGTACTAAGAGCTTTTTAGCTTTTTAGCCAACTGACAAATATTTTAAAGTTTTATCAAAAGCTAAAAACTATGAAATATTCCAGTTGAAAAAAAAAAAGAAGAAGGAAAGAAAGAAAGACGATAGAAATAAAAGTAATATAGCAGAGAAGAAGACAGTTATAGAATTGAGAATGTTTTGAAGAAAATAAAAAAGAGAATTTTAAAATGTTCAAAAGCAATCATTGAAAATGTTTGATTGACTAAAGTTCGTGAACAGCTGATAAATTATAAATATTTTAGTAAAAATGAATTTGATAAAATCATTATTACTTTTTTATTATTTATTATTTTAAAAGAGATAGATAAATTAGATTTCATTTTTAAATTTGATTAAAAAATTGACAAAAAAAAGTTTGCATTTTACATTCGAATTACCTAATTTTTCTTCCTTTTTCTTTTTTACTTTTTTTGTTCGCACTATAAAAGTTTCAAATAAATTATTATAGGATGGCGCAATAAATAATTGTAAGTGTTAAATGTTATTATAATGTTATTATACCATTGCTTTTCTTGTAAATAAAAATTATCTTTGTCATAAATAAAACAAAAAAACTCAAAAAATTAATAAATAATTTTTCAGGAGAAAAGTTAGACTATTCTATATTTAAAGAAAAAATTCTAACAAAAAAAAAAAAGGAAAGAAATTTAATTCGCTGAAATTTTAGCACAACCATGAAGTGTTGTTGAGGAAGATTTAAAAAAAAAAATTAGAAATGAAAGAAAACAAAATCGAAAATGTCATAAAATAACTTTCAGCAATGTGATAAATTTTCATAATGCTCAAAATTTAAAAAATTTTAGCGAAGTTTGAAATGATATCTACTCAAATTAACAATTGATTTCAAAAAAATAAATAAATAAACGCATCACTCCATGTAATTAGCACTGGAAGACATTTTGCAAATATTTTTATAGATTGAAAAAATTGAGCAAATCAATAAAATTTTTAGTTTAAAATTTATTTTTTTAGCTAATTTGGAATTTTGATTTTAAAGCCTCGAAGATTCCTTTTCTATATTTAAACTACATTTATACAATAATTACAATAAATGAATGAGAAAAATCGCTTCTTTAGATCGTTAAACGATCAAATTGCATTAAATTGAAAAAAATAATATTTTGGAATTTGTAAAATTAAGCAATTACAGAAGAAAAATCTTCTCGAGAATTTCAAACTTTCTACTTCATTTTTTAATCAACCTTACTTCTTCTTCTCCATACCCCGCATCATCTACTGATTATAATAATTTAAATTTCAAAAGCAAAACAGAATGAAAAGTTAAATGTGTTAAAACAAAGAGACAATAAATGATAATAATAATAATAAAAATATTTACAAAATTCCAACAAAGAAAATGAAAATATTTTAAAAAATTCAAAAGAGAAGCAGTTTTTTTTTAAGTGTGTACGAAAAAATTGAAATTTGTTTATATATATATATATATATTTTTCCACTGATTAATATTATTGGTGAATGTTTTCAAGATGAGAAAATTTTTCCAATAAAATTATTCCTTAATAGACTAAAAGTTTTTGTAATAATTTTTTCTCAGCCAGAAAAAAAAAACGAAAAAAATTTTTACCTTTCGTACGAATAAATCCAATCTCATCTAAAATTACAAATCATTAATCACTCATTTCATTGCTGTCACAACAATTTTTACTGTTAACTCCTATCTACCTCATTTTTCTTTTTTTCTCTCTCTTTCTCCCTCTCTCTCTCTCTCTCTCTCTCTCTTTTAAGTACCATTACTACAATATTTTCTATTAATAATTAATTGATATTTCAAGAAATGTAATAAATGTAAAATTTATAATATGTTTAATGGAGATCTTTTTTCCTTTCTTTCTTAAAAAAAAAATCATCTTTTCATATTTTTTTTTTTCTTTTTTAGAGTGAATAGAAAATGTGACAAAATGAAAAAATTGTGACCTCTTTTTTCCAAAAAGAAAAAAAATTCTTTTGCTTAAAATAAGTAATAATATGTTCTCTCATTAATAATTGTAAAAATTATGGTAAATAAAAATGATTTAAGAAAATGGGTTTTCGTTTTTTTTTTCTTTCGAACTCTTTAAAAATATGAATTTAGAATTAAGAAAATCAAAATAAGGTAATATGACAAAAAATTCCTTCGAAAAATTGCCTTTATATCAGTTCAATTATCAGAATGATTAATGATAACTTAGAGGAAAACTATTTTATACAAGGAAAATAAATGCATTTTTGTATTTTTTAAGAAATAAATATGCATAATTTAACCTTTCAAACGCATATTTTAAATGATATATGAGAGAATTCAGATAGCAACTTGAAGTTTGGCTTATCATTGTTATGCATTTATTATCACTATCATATAAAAAGAAAACATTTGTCTGATAAGAAGAGAAAAAAAAAAAACATTTGTCGAAGGAGCATTTTTACAAAGTAAGCAATAAAAATTTCAAAAAAGAACTACAATTTTAATGGTTTCAAAATGTTTACTCAAATGAAAAGATAATTATTGGAAATTTATAAAATATTGTCAAATTGTACTATTTTGAAATTGTAATTTAGTGTGGCATAAAGTTTGAAATTTTACAAATAATAGCAAAGGAAAAATGAGATGTGCAAAAGGTAAAAGGTAAGTGAATTGAAAATGTAAATTATTGATGACCTGATTTTGTG